ACACACACACACACACACACACACACACACACACACACTCACACACTCACACCACTCCACACCCCCCCCTGGTCTTGGGAATGATCTGATTTTATTTTTCATGAAGTAATTTGAGGGGTAATTCGCTTACTCTTACTGTAAAATGCAAAGCACCCTGAATGTCTTTTTGTCATGTGGGAACTTCCAGTAGTTTTGTTGTGAAGAAGGTCTGTGGATTCCCTTTGCGTGTGACAAGAGTCATGAGGAAGGGCTGAGGTGCAGATCTGAGGCACATCTTGTTGACTGGCAAGTTGTGAAAGAGTGGTGTCTGTTGACTTGTTCTGCCAAGCTTCTATGCTATATATGTGTTACTTTGTTAGCCCCCTACTTTTGTTTTTTTCTACTCGCTTCCTATAATTTCGGTCTTGTCCTTGTGCTTTCAGCCTATGTCTATACGACTTTCAGTGTGTCTTGATAGGTCCTTTTATTTTGGCAAATTTACTCCTATTATCTTGTGTATAGAATGTACCAGTACCAGGTGACTCATTTGAACGACGTTGATTTCACTGTAATATGGCTCCTTGATTTGTCTTTGTTAGGAAAAAATAATAATTGTGTACTGAATATCTGCTTTCCATGTGGTCAGCAAGTTGGTGATCAGTTTGTGCGGCAGGAAAACCATGTGTCGGAAGCAGACCTGCCAAATACTCTGATAAAATAGGAGCTCTCCTTTTTAAAAAAAAAATTGTTTTCTTACTTGCTAGAACCCAGATTGAATTCGCACAGAAGCTGTATTTTTTTTTCTTGAATTCTGTTTCCATTGATCTTGAAAATACACCTTTTTTATTTGCAATATTTACACACCTGATCGTTAATGAAGTGAATATTCTCCGTTCAATTTTTTTGTTTTGTTTGTTAGCAGCAGGCATACTTGGGAGAGACGGGCTTGTTGAAAATGTCATGAAAAGACTCATTTTTATTTTGGTGTATTTGCTAAACTTGTCTATGAATATAACACAGTCAGTTTGGTACATTATTTTAATCTATTGGGGTTCTGGAGACTCTAGAATTTTTCCAGTAACTCCTGTTTTCTTGGAGGATTTTGAGGAAAGCTCCTATTTTTTTGTAATGGAGTAATTAGCAGGTCTGCAAAAGTAGGAGGGTTTAAAT